GTTTATATCGAGGATACCTGCAAAGCTCTTAGAATCGGTTTCTTATATTTATTGTGTGTTTTTTTAAAATGCTTGGATTTCATTTTTGGCCACTGGCCAACTCTATTTATGCAGAAGCAAAACATCATCCATTTTGATGTCCTCGTTTTGAAAAGAAAAATAGTTGTTCTAGGAAGTGTTACAGACATGAAATTTTTACTTTTGAGTACTCAACTGAGTATGCATGTCTGTCATGATCTCTGCGTTCTGAGCGATCTGTTCGACCTCCCACTTTTTCCTGTGGTTTCCATTGTCGTTGTTCCATGCTATCTGAGCGATTCTGTTGTTCTTGCAATATTTTTCTTAATTCTTTTGCATTATAGCTCCTGGCTGGTACGTCCTTCAAAAGTGAATGGCCAACCCTTTCGATGATGATTTCAAAAGCAGTAGCGCAACAAGCAACAGTGAGTTTTCTTACTTGGTTTGTTTTGTGCAGTACCTCTTTGAAGGAGATTTGAGCCTGTTATTTTGTGGTAATTTCATTACCCCTTCTCAGTACTTCGTTTTTCAGGCAAGTTAAAAAGTTACACAACGCATTCGAACAACATTGAGGATGAAGCAGATTTCTATGAACGTGAGATTGAAAAGTATATGCAACAGTCTCTCGATAGCACAGAGAGGTCGAGGCGTCATCTGGAGAATTCGGAAAAAATCGGCGCTCAGACTGCTCAGGTACTTTTGTAAACTTGTATTTATTTTCATATGAAGTAATGTTCACAATTTGGAGTCGTGGAAGATTGTATTGGCTTTTACTTGCATTGTTAAGGACTTGTTGGAACAACGTGAAAAATTGGAGAGAACAGAACGTAATCTCGATGAAATACATAGAACTACCCAGGTCAGTCTCCCTCTATTTGGGCGTTATCCACTATCAGGTGTATTGCGATTTTCAGATCACTCAACGTAATTTGAATAGCTTAAAATCAGTTTTTGGAGGATTTTTCAAGAATAAATTTAGTCGTAAACCGCAAGAAGGGCCGATAGAGGTAAGTAGTTCTCATGAAATACTTGTCTTTCTACTGCTCAACATTTCCACAATCCAATTATTGAAAGAATGAGGGCCTACAAATGCCCTTCTAATGCATACAACCAGATAGATAAAAAACATGTTTGCAGCAAATGCCGCAATCGAAATCTGCGTCTCGATTATCGGAGACTGTTGGCGAGATCAGTGTTGCCGGTGCTGGCGGCTCGCCAGCATCATTCTCTGGGACCTCAGGAGTACCTCAAACCACACTGAGTGAATCAAGCAGAAATGCAATCAAAGGAACTCGGTGGGAAGTCATGGACAATCAAATAGATGAGAATCTGGGTAAGTGGAGAAATGGGCACTCACAAGTCGAGTTTGACAACTCCAAATCTTTATTTGTTTTTGTAGAATCGAATTAAAAAGTTGCTTCGGGGGTTCTGTTAAGAAAAACTCAAATGTTATGCTTGATCGGTACTCTTAATTCGTTTTTCATTCGAGAGGGTATTGCTGGGTCATTCATTCTCACCTTTCAGTGAGGATCTCAATGGCCCCAATCGCAGAGCTTGGGCTTAGGATCCTTCTTTTCGTCTGGAATAGTGCTTTTATGTATTTCTTGCCAGGGCCCTAACTTTCTGTTGTGTAAATTGTGTTTGGGGAAAGAGTTCAGGCAAAATAGGACTCACAATGAATGCCATAATAGTAATCAGGATTTTGGCTTGCTTGTAGACAAAGGTTAGCCGAACAGTTTTTTTGGATCTTGAAGCAGTGCCGTTTGATTAGTATTAACAAGGATTTTATTCGGTTTTTTAAGCGTTAGTTTTTCTTAGTTTATTTTTGAAGTTTAATTCAGAATGTACATTTATAGATGCGATGTCAAGGAACCTTCGTAACCTTCAGCGTTTGGGTCAGGACCTAGGGAAAGAGGTCGACGAACAGAATCAGTTGCTTGATCGCATTCAAGCTAAAGCTGACCGAAATGATGTCATTGTACGCGTACAAGATAAGCAGGTGACTGAAGGCAGAGATTTGTCTACCTATAATTGTGATAATGTTTTGGCACTGATAATCGTTATTACATTTTTATAGATGCAAAAAATATTGGGAACCGAAGCGAAGAATGAAGACTCTTCAATGACACCTAGGTAAGATTTGTTACCAATGTTTTTCGAACTGGGGCTCCTCCTTTTCTGTGTTGAAGACTCTTGAGACACTAAAGCAAAAAGAATGTTGGTTGTGAACATTCGAGTTTGGGATTTGCCTTGAAGGTGCG